TGCGTTGCTGAGAGTTTCCATAGGTCCATTGGAACCTCTTTTCTTGATCAGTCCTAAATGTTAAAACCTGAAATGCATTTGATCTTCAAAAACTCTTAAAGTCTTCTTTTTATTTCTTTTTGGAGAGTACACCTGAAAATAGACAAGAACACAAAAATGAAGATAATCTATATACAAAGACCAAATAAATGACTTAACGAATGCAATTAAGGGCGCTTAAATATACAATATTCTGCGCTTATCAGTGTGTATATGTATGTATCGACTATGTAGCTATTGCATGAGTTTAGCTAGGGATGTATTGATTATCGGTTCTCTGATCGGGTCGTAGTAGAGGGAACTTGTTTGTGGTCTTACCCACTATTTAATTTTCAGGTCCTCGGCAGTACCAGTCTTAAAGTTGTTCGTACAGATCAGAGATTGTTCATTTTCACTCTTCCATATCATCAATGTAGGATATTATTTCAGATTTATGTTATTCTTCAGACTTAGTAGTCATTTATTATTTCAGTAAACGTTATTTCAGTTATGGGATTTTATTAGGGGTCCTTATTATACGGATTCCCGAGTTATAGTTTGGAGGATTTTCAGTTGTGGTTATTTATAGAGGTTCATTATTATGGGATTCTTCTTAGAGATTATTATCTGAGGATTATTTATTTATTATTTAGTTTTCCTTTTCAGTGTTATTTATTTATTTATTCTTATTATCCATTTGTATTCCGTGCTTGTTTATTGTTAATTGTTTGATATCCCCCGATTTTGGGTGTGGACTTGACTAACCCATGTCTCTGAAATTAGAGGTATCACACCGATCGACTTTACAGCTCAGGATCCCTAACTGGTGCAAGTGATTGGTTCTGGATCGACACTAAGGGATTATTCTCAACGCTTGGGTGATCCTTAGGCTTCCAAGTTTGTGAAGACTGATGGATCTTTTGTGAAAGCAAATAACACGATATTCAAGAATGGGCCATATATTTTTCGAATGCCAAGAACTTATGGACTCCAAAAGATGTCCAATTTCAGAATGGTCTCACTAAGCACGATCTATTCGCTCGGATGCCCATTTATGCCATGAAGGTAAGATTTATTCTGCTCATTTTCCACTTGGTAGTTTTATTTTATTTCTATACTTTCTTTCCCCATTTCTGAACCATGGACTATACTCTTATCTTGGCAGAAAATATTTAGAGTGGCCTCATTGTGTCATGTTATGGAAGATTGGGAGCGTAATATGGCTGATCTGTTGGGTGAGAAGAACAGGATGACCATTGAGATGAATAATATGGTGGTTTAACATTAGGAGGCTGATTACAGATGCATAGAGATGTCTTATCAGTGGAAGATGAGAAGGCCGCTCGGGTGGTTGTTAAGAAGAATGTTGATGATCTGACTAATTGAGGAGAGTTTCAGGGAATGTCTGGACATGCTTGTATCTACTGGTGTCATTACTACTCCCCCTTCTGAGCCAGTGGTCCAGTCTTTTGATCTTTATGCTCCTATTAATGATACACCAACTGATGGGGTCGTTGTTCATACTTCTGATCTTTATCCTTAAGCTGAGCCAATCATGGTTAATCAATTCGATGTTGATTCTTCTACTTTTCAGCAAGAAAATACCCAATAGTTTCATTTTGTCATTTATCTCCATGTTTTGATCCAAGGTGTTTTTGTAATTCTTGGGCAATGCTTGTTGTTGTTAACTTGCCCCCATTAAAGGGGATTGTTTTGGAATTTTGTTAAGAATCCTTAATTTAAGCTTTTTTGTTCATATCTTTGTGAGAATATTCATCGTCACTTCATTTTATTACCTTTCTTGCAGCGCTCACTAACATAAATGTGTGTATAATGTCAGATTGGGTTACGTTTGACCCTTACTTTTTTTATGCTCCTCTATACCTTTGGACTTTTTGTCACTTGCCTTAATCTTTTTGGTCTCTTGACAATCGGATTCTCATGCCGTTATTACTTATTTTGATATTCTTTAGCAATTGACTTGATCTTACTGATCTCCTTGACAATTGACTTTCATGTCGTTGCCACTTCTTTTGATCGTACGGATATCCTTGACGATCGAATTTCATGCCATTGCCACTTGTTTTGATCTTACTGATCTCTGGCAATCGACATTTATGCCATTAACTCTTACTTTGATCTTTTTTAATCTCTTTGGCAATTAACTTTTATGTAATTGCCACTTGTGTTTGATCTTGTTGATCTCTTTCGCGATCAACATTTATGCCATTGCCACTTACTTTGATCTTTTCTAATCTCTTTAGCGATCGGCTTTTATGTCATTACCCCTTGTTTTGATCTTATTGATCTCTTTAGCGATCAAAATTTATGTCATTGCCACTTCTTTTTTATCTTATTGATCTCTTGGCAATCAGTTTTCATGTCGTTTCCACTTTTGTGCTTGCCACATGATTTGTTTTCTTTATTCTAGTTTAACTTTTCCAAAAATAAGGTGGCACTACCTGACTTGTCCCATTGGGACAAGTCGAGCATTCCTATCATTGTTTGGTGTTAGATCCTTGACCATATATTAACCCCCTATGCGTAATACTTTTCTTGGGTCCTTAGCCCTTACAAATATTGTCTTGTCGTTAACTGGAAGTAATGAAAAAAAAAATGAGTGAGGGCATTATTGGTAGTATCTTTTAAGATATGAGGCATTCCATGGTTTATCCACTTGCTTCAATTTAGATCCTCAAACTCATATGCCCCTTTTCCAAGACTTCAGTGATTCTGAATGGGCCATCTTGGGTACAAGGCCTACTTTTCTCTTTATGACCAATTCCCTTGAGCCGAAGTTTCTGTGTCACACTTTCTTAGTGTGGTTGTTCACTAGTGTTTGTTGATATGAGGCCATCCTGATTGCAGTCAACTTCCTTCATTCTTCCAGTAAATTAAGGTTGTGCTCGAGCGATCTATCATTGTTGGTGCTATCCTAGATCAAACTCTTGATGGTCAGAATAACATGCTCAGTGTGAATCACCACTTTAGTGCCATACGCCATGGCGAACGGACTTTCCCCGATCAGTCACCTCGACATTATTCGGTATCCCTACGGGACGTTCAGGAATTCTTGGGCCACTTTCCTTTCTTGTTTTTAAACTTCTTCTTGACACAATCAAAGATGATCCTATTAGTGATCTCCTTCTGTTCGTTTCCTTGTGGGTGGCTAACTGTAGCTGTTGATCACATATTCATTAAGGAATTTTTTTCATATTTATATTGTCTAAGTTCTTCCCATTATCCATAATGATGGATTTGGGGACTCTAAAACTGCAGATTATGTTGTTACAAATAAACCTTTTCATCCGAGTATGAGTTACCATGTGATATGGCTCTGCTTCCACCCACTTGGTGAAGAAATCAATTGTCAAAGACACATACTTGTTCTGCGATCTAACAGTTGGTAGAGGTCCACATCCATCTCCCAATGGGAAAACGACTAGGTGTTCGCCATCACGTTCAGATCCTTAGGTGGTTGGTGAATCAATTGTCCGAATCGTTGGCACTTGTCAAATCTCTTGGTGTACTCGTTAGCATCTCGGGTCATATAAGGCCAGATGTAACCTTGAGTTATGGCCTTGTGTGCTAATGATCGGCCTCTCGAGTGTTGCCACAGACTCCTTCATGGATCGCGCATAGAATCTATGATGGGGTTACACACTTTAGGTAGGGCCCGGACTAGGATATTATGTACAACTGACCATGGATGACCCCGTATTTTGTTGTGTTCATCCTTATCCTCCAGCCTCCTCTCTTTGCTTCGGAAATACTCCTTCCTTTATGTAGGTCATAATGAGATCGATCCAATTGGTTCACTTGGAGTTTTCCAGCTCTACTACATCAAACAAAATAATTCAAATATGTAAATGATAAAAAATTCCATGCAGAAAATGTGATATTGAAAATTGGGTTGTCTTGTATTAGTCTTCGGTTCGATTACTCTTATATAAAAAAAATCCTATAAATTGAATAATATATTAAAAATAGTAAATAAATTCTCAGAAGAATTAATTCTCCAAATGATTAATATACAATAATCAAGATCTTAAGAAAAAAAGAAATTAAAAGGAATTTTTTTTTATCATTAATATATATAAAATTTTAAAATTATAAATATAAAAAAGTCCAGTCAAAATTTAGTTTTTTGGATTGAATTCGGACTCTTAACACTTATTTTAACTAGAGGTGCGCACGGTCCGGTTCGGACTGGATTGAGAGTATTTTGGGACCAAACCATTTATAACGGTTTCACTATTTTTGAAACTAGACCGAACCATAATGTCCATGGAATCAAACCAAACCAAACCAAACCGCAAAAACGGGTTTGATTCGGTTCGGTTTGTCGATTTTAGTTGATTTTCTTTTTATTTTATTTTAATTTAGAGGGAGCAAAGTTTTTTTTTTTTATTTTAAAAAGAAAGAAAAAAAAAATCAACTAATATATAACACACAAAAAAAAGAATTTTAAGAAGAAATGAAGGAAAAAAAATTGAGATATATTTGAAAGGAAAGAATATTGAGATATACTTGAAAAGGGAAATTTGACTTTTTTAAAAAGAAATTTAAGGAATTTAAAGAACAAAAACAGAAAGGGGGCACGTGAGAACTTTACTTGATTTAAGTGTTCCAGCACGACTCTAAATCAGGATCGGATCGAAAAATTACGATTTCATAATTTTGGGTCCAGAACCATACCAAACCGCTATATAATCAGCCCAAATAGTACGATCCTGTCTGATTTTTCGAATTTTTTGAACACCCCTAATTTTAACCAAAATTAAGTTTTAATTAATATTTTGTTAAGTTCAATTGCAACCCAAATTTAACCGGATGCACTGTAGTCAGTCGTAGCACACACAAATCAAGCAACCAAACAGTGCGATAAGGGTAAACCCGTAATTGCAGCGAGTATTAAATTTTTGGTTTAAAATTTTAAATGAAAACTTATTAAACTAATAAATTGTAACAAAAAACAAAGGACCTTTTTAAAGTTTGTTCTCAGAGTGAAATGAGGTTTGGAATCCGGAGGTCAGACGAGAGATGGACTTCAGACATGAGAGAGAGAGAGAGAGAGAGCGAGAGCGAGAGAGGCGTTGTAAAAGGAAGGATCTGAGATAGTCTATAGAGCGCGCAAAAGAAGGTGAGCTTACATCTGATCTCCCCTTTTAGGGCACGTTCTACTCTATATATATGTGAATATGCCTCTGTTTTTCTGGTTGAATCTCCCACTGAGCCTCCCAAAATCTTTGCTTTTTCTTTCTAATTTACCAATTCCAAGGTTTGTACACCATATTCTTTCTGCAATTAACCCCTAACTGCATAATTTTCAGGTTTTTCAGTTGTTTCTGAATTTTGTTCAACTAAACCAGATTTCTTTTTGGGAAATCATTAACCTATTTTGATTAAGACCCCGAACTGTATAAATTTCTTTTTGGGAAAAATGGGTTTTCTAATTTGAGCTTGGTGATTGTGTTGATACAATTTTGATTCACAAATTGATGGAATTTTGGGCTGCTTATGAGGCTTAAGCTACATGTTGTTTCAATATTCTTGTGGAAAGTTCCTATATTGGGTCTCTTTCCCTATTTATGTAATCATGGTCTGATTGTGAGATTTATGGACTTTTGGGTAGTTTATTGGGTTAGGCCTATATGTTGTTGTTGGAGAAAGATTTCTTTTTATGGGTCCGTTTCAGTGCTCTTTGAAGCCTCACAGGTCGAAAATGGTGATTTTTTAGTGTCAATATATGTTCATATTTGTCCGTGTTGCATTGTCATATATAGGTTTCTAAATTTCACATGAATTCTCTGGGTATGAAATCTCAATAGTCGCAATGGTGTACTCCTTTTATTTCAATACATATACTCTAGTTTTTTCCCACATCAATCTTTGCCTTCCAACGCTTGAATTTCTGGAGACTATATAATTTCGTTGTTTATTATTAATTAGTTTTGTTTTGTGGATCTTCTACCTCTAGAGAAATCTGATGCAGTAAATGCCTTTTGTTGGGTTTTAGGACCCATGACCTATTGTTTTTCTTATCTTATCTTTTTTTTTTTTTTTTTTTTTTTTGGGTGTTATTTCAATCCCTCCTCTCTCTCTCTCTAAAAAATAGAAAAAAAAAAAAAAAAAAAATAGTGGATTTTGGATAATAAGAAGTGAGATTTGAACTTATTAGCATTATTGTTTTAAACTGAGGTTTAAGAATACAAAATTGATTCTTATTATCTACTGGTTCTGGCTACTTTAAGTCCATGTGAGGCTTTCTTTTATGGGAATCTTCTTTTCTTGCTTTGTGCTTTTCCACATCCATATCTTTCTCTTTTTTCCTTGGTCATTAAGCTTTGTAGAGAAATTTTGAACTAAAACACTCAAATGTTTTGTGCAGTTATATAGGCGTTCAAGTTTCTCTGATTTGTGGTGGCCACTCAGCGTAACTTCCTAAGTTAAAACTTTGGAATATAATTTATGCAACCATATTGGGAGAAGATATATAATTATATAAAATTCTGGTGGGTGTGGACGAACTGGGGTAAATGTCATTCCGCAGTATAGTTCGTGATGTAAGGGATGGTTTTGGAAGTTTATCAAGACGGAGCTTTGAGGTGAGGCTGCCTGGTCATCACCGGGGAAAATCTCATAGTGCAGTTCATGAGTTGCATGACCAGCCTCTGGTTGACCAGAACAGCCCTTGGGCTAGCCTCCCGCCAGAGCTACTCCGAGATGTGATTAAGAGGTTGGAGGCAAGTGAGATTACCTGGCCTGCTCGCAAGCATGTTGTTGCTTGTGCTGCTGTTTGCAGGTCATGGAGGGAAATGTGCAAAGAAATCGTCAAAAGTCCAGAGCTCTCTGGGAAGCTTACTTTCCCGGTCTCCCTGAAGCAGGTGGATCTTTCTGCTCTCTTGTCTTGCTCTTGGTATTGCCTAAATTTTTCTTAATCCAATCGCTATCCATAATCATAGAATCGTTCTTATGACAATAAAAATCAGATATGCACTTCATTAAATGAAGTGATTTTCTATAATAGTATTGGCAGCTGACAGTTCTCTGATTTATTTGTCTTAACAGCCTGGGCCTCGGGATGGAACCATTCAGTGCTTCATTAAAAGAGACAAATCTAAATTAACTTACCATCTTTTCCTTTGCCTTAGCCCTGGTAAATATTCTTACAAGTCACAACCATTTTTTTGCTACTTATTTGTGAGTTTTCATAAGCTTTACATGACCTGCCATGTTGGTAGGGATCTTAAAATTGAGTGTAATTAGATGGCCAATTCCTTCTCTTAATTTCATTGATGTGATTGTGTAGGCAAATAGCCCAATCATCTTCTTTAGTGATGCAATTCCATTGGCATTAGTTATGTTGGACTTCTTAAGTAAGTTTATTAATGCAATTTTGATGTGATATTTTGTAGCTCATGCATCTTTATGGCCTCATGTAGTAACTATAAAAGTAGATGCATCTTTACTCCCTACATTGTGGTATTGCTGTTGTAGTCCGACATAAGAAAATACTGGAATGTTGTGTTTATACATGTAATGTGTGCATGCACATTTGTTCTCTATGTATTTACCTTTCAGTTTAGATGATCAATTTACTACATAAATACTCTCAAAGATCATATTTTTAGATGATCAGTTTTCAGAGACTTGCAACAGAGAGCTATACAATTCTTAATATTAATTGTAGTTTTAGATCAGTTTTCAAAACTGTTAACCAAACAAATTTGCGTGATAGTGTTCTGGTCGTATTCGCACCATAACCATATCTCCTTCCTCAAATTCAGCAAACTTCCTCCACAAATCAGCTTGTGTTTTGTAAGTTTCATTGCAATTGCAATCTTCCTTTGAACTTCCGCATGGATGTCTCTGATATGCTTACTAAAAGCATCAGCTTCAGCACTAGGGCGTGCCACAATTGGTAAAGGCACTACTAAGTCAATTGGTTTCTGAGGACATAAACCTATCACAATCTCAAAGGGGCTGTGCCCTGTTCTGTTTACGGAACTGTTGTACGCGAATTAAGCCATAGGAAGAATCTGGTCCCAACTACTAATATGGTCACCAACAAGACAACGAAGCAATTCACCCAAGCTGCGATTAATGACCTCGGTTTGGCCGTCAGTTTGGGGGTGAAAAGAAGAGGAAAACTTCAGCCTTGTATTCAGCATCTTCCATAATGTGCGCCAAAAATAACTCATACACTTTGAATCTCGATAAAAAACAATGGTGTTTGGCAATCCATGAAGCCAAACAACTTCTTGAAAGAAAAGCTTGGCAATGTGTACAACATCGGATGTCTTGGAACACGGAATGAAGTTTGACATTTTTGAAAAACGATCCACGGTAACAAATATAGCATCATGACTTTGACTTGTTTTAGGCAACCTAAGAACAAAGTCCATGCTTAAATCTTACCACGGCTCATGAGGGATTGGGAGCGGCGTATATAAACCTGTATTTTCTTTCTTCCCTTGGATATTTGACAAGTTCTACAACGAGCAACAATTTTGACCACATCCCGTTTTAAACTTGGGTGGCAATGGTCTTATCTCTTCCAAATTGACCTGTTGCCCCACCAGCATGCTACTCCCATATCACATGTTCATGAAGAGACGTTTTAGGCAAACAAAGTCGAGTTCCTTTGAAGAGATAATCATCATGCACCGAATAATCAGGATATGTACCCTGCTGTCCAGCTATCAAATCAGCATGTATGACGCTAAAGTCTGTGCAAGATAAGTAGTCTCGTTAAGCATATCGAAAGTTCGAAACCAAGAACTTGGACAGCCATGGAGGCAAGAATATGAACAACTCGGCTAAGTGCATCGGCTGCCTTATTCTCAACACTAGCTTTATGTTTGATGACAAATGAGTACTCTTGCAAGAATGAAACCCACTTCCCATGTCGGTGGCTTAACTTCTTTTGGGAGTTAATATATTTGAGGGCCTTGTGGTCAGAATACAACATGAACTCCTTCAAAAGAAGGTAATGACGCCAGTAGCGAAGTGCTTGAATCACAGGGTAAAATTCTCTGTCATAAGTGGATTACCTTTGCTTTGCTTCATTAAGTTTCTCACTAAAATACGCAACTAGATGTCCTTCTTGACTGAGCACGCCTCCAATTCCAACCTGTGAAGCATCACATGCAACTTCAAACACTTTTGAGAAGTCTGGAAGGCACAAAACAGGAGCTGCTGTCATTCTTTTCTTCATTTCTTCGAAAGCTTGTGCTGCTACCTTTGTCCAAACAAACTGTCTGTTCTTCATACAATTGGTGATAGGAGCCATTATTGTGCTGAAATTTCTAATAAATCGCCAATAGAATGAAGCTAGCCCATGAAAACTCCGTGCTTCCTGCAATGTGCTGGGAATTGGCCAATCTAAAATCGCTTTTACTTTATTAGGATCAGCTTCTACCCCTTTGGAAGAAACAACGAAGCCCAAAAACACCACACTCGGCAACATGAAGAAACACTTCTTCAAGTTCATGTAAAGCCTCTCTTAGCGGAGAACTCTCATAACATGTTGAAGGTGGAAAATATGTTCCTCCCTCGTTTTGCTGTAGATTAAAATATCGTCTAAGTAAACAACCAGAAATCGACCAATAAAAGGCTGCAATACCTGAGTCATGAAGCGCATGAATGTACTAGGGGCATTGGAAAGACCAAATGGCATAACAAGCCACTCGTAGAGTCCATCTTTTGTTTTGAAAGCTGTCTTCCATTCATCCCTGGGCCTTATGCGAATTTGATGGTAGCCACATTTCAGATCTATCTTTGAAAGTATACAAGAACCAGCCACCATGTCTAGCAAATCATCGATTCGAGGAATAGGAAACCGATACTTGATTGTAATCTTGTTGATGCCACGACTTTCAACACACATGCGCCAACTACCATCCTTCTTTGGTGTGAGCAAAGCTAGGACAGCACAAGGACTTAAGCTTTCACGGATAAATCCGTTGGACAACAACTCATTAACTTGCCTATGAAGCTTAGCATGCTCTTTTGGATTCAAACGATAAGTTGGAAGGTTAGGCAATGGAGACCCCGGTACAAATTCAATCGAATGCTAGATATTACGTAAAGGAGGGAGTTCATTAGGGAGATGAATCTGAGAAATCTGACAGCAAGTTGGCGACCTCTGATGGCATTGAAGAATCATGAGCAGCAACAGTTTCTTTGATTTCCCTTGCCACAACAGCATATATAACACCCGTCTCTTTACTTTCCAATTGAAACCTCTTCTTGGAAAGAAGATGGAGGGACTTTTTCTTGCTTTTCGCATCATTTACAGCTTGTCCACCTTTATATTTTTCCATTTCAGCTGAAGACATAGGCTTCAAAATAATCTGTTTGTTGTTAAACAAGAAAGTGTATCTATTCTCCTTCCCACAATGGAACACATCTCAATCATAAATCCAAGGCCGCCCAAGGAGAATATGTGTCACTTTCATGGGAATTACATCACACTAAACAAAATCATTATAAGCTCCACAAGAGAAAGAAACGAGACAATGTTGAGTTACCGGAATAGAAGTATTATCTATCCACGCCACTTTGAATGGTTGTGGATGTGGTTGGACTGAAAGCTTGAGGCGCTCAACCGTGGATGCAGACACAACATTCATGCAACTTCCGCCATCAATAATGACCTCTCGAGCTTGATTCCCACAACGAACTAGCATTTGAAAAATAGATGTGTGTCGCCAATCTTCATCTTCAACTTTAGGGGCTGCAAGGATGTGCCTCACAACGGAGATTGATGGAGCATCTTCATCCTCTTCTAAATCGTCAGGGTTGTAGATCCCATAGTCAAACATGTTCCCATTATCCTCTCCCCCTTGTTTTTCTCGCTCTTCTTCATGCATTATCCCAATGTGTAAATTTTTCATTAGACATTGGTATGCCATGTGACCTGTTTCTCCACATTTGAAACATTTGAAGCACTTGTTATCCGTTCCACTACCTTTGCTAGCCGCAATACTATTCCCTTTAGGATCAGCCATGTTAGAAAAGGGCTGTTTTGATCCAGCATTTACACCATTCGGCTGTGCTGCTTCTGCTCATTCCATCACTGGACTTCTTGGGTGCTGCCTCCTAGGTTTGATATCCAGATCTTCGAGCCGTTGATAAGTCAGGTACTCCTCCATGTCCAATGCAACCTGAAAAGCATGTTCAACACCATATAATGACTGGCGAAGCAATTCCCTTCTGATATCAGACCTTAGACCAGCCTTGAATCTTGCAAGTGTTTGCCGTGGGTCTTCCACAACTTGACTTCTAGTCTTTAACTCGTCAAATCTTTGCATATATTCCACAACTGACATTCTGCCCTGCTTTAGATTGATAAGTTGATCACACAGCTTGTCATGGTAATTGGCCGGCATGTATTTCTCTCGAAGCTTTGACTTCATTTTGTGCCATTTCCTGATTGGTGGTTGTCCCAACCTCCTAATATCCCCTTCAACACCAGTCCTCCATATTTTTGCTAGGCCCACAAGCTTCATTCTAGCAAATCTCACTCTATGATCATCACTCATATCATACCAATCAAAATATTCTTCAATCGAAGCAAGCCAATCCGAAAATACAGTAGGATCAACCTTACCTTCAAAATCTCGCTTCTCCATTTTAATTTTCCTTGTGATATCCCTAGCGTTATCATGTGGCTCATGATAATTCACTCCCAGATTTCTCGGAAACTCAAACATTGGGTGTGGTGGTGGATCAGCCTTCACATTCTGCCTTTGTTGCACGTTTAAAGGATGTTGTTTCTCTTGACCACCTCCATCATTTGTACCGGATGCAGTTACTTGTTCACCAGAAGCAAAATTGTTACTAGTTTGACACATTTGAGCTTCTATCTCGTTGAATCGGACATTCAACCCGTTAAGCTGCTCCACAAGCTTTAATATCAGCTCATCTTGCTGATTACTACCCGATCTCTCATCTCTTGATTGTGTCAACATGATGTCAAATCAGGCTCTGATACCAAAAACTGATGTTGGACACAATAGCAGCCTTGAATAGATAAGAACTTAAAAGAATTCAGAGGCTGAGAGGTCTAAGGAGAAGTGGCTGGAAATTCAGAAAAACAAAGCTAAGGTTCAAGAGTTGTTAGTAGAGAAGATGGATTGAAAACAACAACAAAAAAAAACCTATTGGAATCACTCCAACAGGACCTAGGTATCACACCTAGAGAAGGCCTCACACCCTCGGAATTTGTGAATCTCTCACAAAGAAATCTCAAAGGATAATTTTATTCAATCATTCACTGCGTATTCAGAATTACACAGTATCCTTTTTATAATAACTGATGACCCTTGGATTACCCTACAATGGAGGTAATCAAAAGTTGACTCTAGCTTAATAAAGTAACAAATAACTTAATTGATGCAATTTAATCTAATTATGCAATTTACCAAAACAATGCAAATTCACCATAATTAATGCAATTACCAAAATAATGCAATTTGACCAAACCCCCCAATTATGCAAGACTCCAAGTGGACCCCCCATTGTCTAGCATGTGCCAAAGTAAGGTTTGAGCCTTACAACCCTCCTTGCCACGCCTTTTATGTACTTTAAAAGGCTGCTGCCACTGTTCTCTACCATCTCTCTTGTGTTGCGATAGATAACTCAATTCTGTTTCAATGCTTGCAAGTTATTTGATTGACTTTTTGTAACCTATTTATCAGCCAGGCTCTGCAATTAGCCTTGCAGTCGAAGTACTGATGTGACTGTTATCTGGGACAAAAACTAATTTCTTCTGTTAATTCAATTCATAAAAACCATCTGCAGACAGCTTAAACCAAGTCCACTGTGCTTATTAAAGCCAAATCTTCGGACATTCTAAAAGATGGATACTGCTGCTTGGGTGATGGTGCAATGACTGTGAATATTCATTAGCTTAAGCACAGCGCTAGAGTTAATCCGGTGGTTTTAGATCCAATCTTACAGAAATTTATAGAATCCAATACTCTTGCAATCAATGTTTCACCTTATTTTGTGTTGAGCAATGACAACTTAAATCTAATATCATGCTGTTATCGATACTTTGCTTTTGCAGCCTTGCTGGTTGAAAATGGAAAATTTCTTCTTTCTGCAAAACGAGTTCGGAGAACTACTTGCACAGAGTATGTGATCTCCATGGATGCGGATAACATATCAAGATCAAGCAGCACTTACATTGGAAAACTGAGGTAGGAGCATTCGTTAAGAAACTCATTTTAATTTTTTGAATGCTGTACTATCCTTAAATTTTGGGAATTGTTACATTAGTAATGATAGTTAAGAACAAGGAAAAAAAGTCCACTCTGTATTGAAATAATTTAGACAATAGAAAGAGGGAACAGGCTGGAAGTAATTCTGTCACCAACTGTTGGAATGCATTTAAGTTACCATGTATCTCTCTCTATCTCATCTTCCTTGGATTACATCGAAGTATTGTTTGATAGGTATGCCAACCTAGAAAGATTGGTGTCCATGTTTGACACATGTTGGACAAACCCTTAACATGGTATTGAGACATTTTAAATATGTATTATAAAAAAATAATTATAAATAAAAAGAAAGTTAGTTCAGGCACGTGGCTGACACTTTTTTTAATCCTCACCAATGTTTGAAGTGATGAATAGCGTAGAAAAAGAAGTGTGTTGCAAGAGATATAAAATTAATAAAAAAATATTCCGGATTTGTATTCGAAGTGAGAAATATAGGAGTGGATCTGGGACGAAAAGAGTCGTCGTCATACATATGTATACATGCACATTCACATCTATCCAAAGTACACACTCGTTCCTATATTCCATGTCCTTTCTAAGTTTTGGTTTATTCAGTGGGTGATCATAAATTATTAAGAATTTTAAGTTACAAATCATGTTTTAGCTATAAAATATAAGATCTCATTAACCAGTAACTTTATGCATAAAACTATGTTTCATTGTTGGAATGTTCTCACTGTATCCTTGTCCTTGAAATTTTGGCGTGTCAACGAGTTTGTACTGTTATCTCCATGTTCAGTATCTCCATTTCCATTCCTCTAATGGCAAGCTTTTGCTTAGTTTTACGAGATGGGGGTCGCTTTTTCTTATCTGTGTGAGCATCTCTTCAAGTAAATGCCTTTGTGGATATGTGGTCATGTTTTCATGATTGTAAATACCTGTACTTTTTTATTTTTTCCTCTCTATAAATGTTGTGTGGCCATATGTAGGAGTGCCAAAATTCGACACTACCTGCCAACACGTCATGAAGTTAATAGGTTTGGGTTGACCATAATCGTGTCAACCCGTATAAACGTTTAATTAATCGTGTTGTGTTTTTGAGTTTTACCCCATTTGACCCATTTAATTAATCACATCAGTTTTTTTTTTTTTAAAATAAAAAATAAAAAAATTAATCATGTCAATTTAACCCGATTAACCTATAACTTGTTTTAACCCAATTACTATGGACATTTTTGTTATTTTAGAATAACTCCAAATTGGGTCGTATCGTGTTACTTGTTTAATAAATAGCCGTGTTTTTATCAAGGTTTCTTAACACGATTATTAAATAGGTCGTGTTCGGGTTGACCATATAACATAATACTATTAGGTCGACATGACACAAATATGACCCACAAACACGAATTTATACCCTTAGTCATACGTACACATATTCTAAACATCGCTCCATTTTTTTAGGTGTTACCTCCTAGGAAGCATGGCCATGGGCACGATATGAATATGTCGTGTCAAATTCAAAAAAAGCAGGACGCACTCATCGTGGACACGGCTAACGTAAATATAAATTTTCATTTATATATCTATTAAAAAAGATAATTATAGAACTTTAATTAATTTATAATTTCTGTACTAAAGTTACAAAATTTAAAAGATGAAGCTATTTATTTATTTATTTTGACAAGTAATAATTGAATAAAAGGCGGTCGAAAGGGGAACATGTCCCTTATACAAAAGTGGAACCGGGATCTAAGGCCCCAAAGAATCCAAAAAAATGATTAAATCATCGGAGGAGGAGCAAGAACTCCTCTTCACATAACTAAAAAGAGAGTAAATGATATGAAGTTTCAGCGTCGCCGTGGACAACTCATTCCCTTCGAACATTCTGCTATTCCTCTCTTTCCAAATGCACCACCACGTGCAATGTGGAACTATCCTCCAGCAGTTGCGTACACTACTTCTCACACGACATCCCCTCCATGCATGAATCAGACCCTTAGAAGATCGAGGCATTACCCAAAGCATGCCAAATGAGCCAGGTATAAGATTCCAGCAGTCGTACGCCACGGGGGCAATGCAGGAGGATATGATCAACTGATTCACCATCTTGTTTACACACGCAACACCAATTAACGATACAATTACCTCTCTTCCTTAAGTTGTCAATTGTCAAGATCTTACCCCATACAGCAATCCATACAAAGAATGCCACTCTAGTTGGAGCCATAGAACGCCATATGATCTTCCATGGAAAATCAATGCTATCAAAGTTGGATAGGCATAGGAACAAGGATCGTACTTCGAATCGACCATGGGAAAAGGGGATCCACGTAAGATCATCACTACCTCTGCGCCTCCTGCCGATATAACAGATCCAAAAGAACACATACCTCGTCCATCTCCCAATCTTGAAAAGATTTCCGAAAGTGCACATCCCACGTAATCCCACTACTATCAAGTCGATAACAGTCAGCTACGTAGGCATGCCTATCAACTGCAGTACTGTATAATCTGGGAAAGGTACAAGATAATGGCTAGTCACCACACCATAGATCCTCCCAAAATCGAACACATCTACGATCACGAACTTTGAATCTGATGTGGGAAAAGAAAACATCCCTACCCTTTTGAATGAATTTCCACACACCAACTCCTCCCACAATAGAAATCGAACGAGTAGACCAACCGCCACTCTCCTTCCCAAAACGACATGAAACAAGCCTTCGCTAAGGGCGATGCCTTTCCCTCCCGAATCTCCATAACCATTTACCCAAGAGAGCTTGATTGAAGGGAACCAACCTCCTGATACCCAGACCACCCAACTTTATGGGCTTGCAAACTTGCTCCCATCTGACAAGGTGATACTTAAACTCTTCGCCCCTTCTGCCCCAAAGGAAATCCCTTTGGATCTTTTCAATCCTTTCGGCAATAGAGCATGAAATTTGGAACATAAATAAAAAATAAGTAGGAAGGCTCGATAAAGTGCTCTTTATGAGAGTAACTTCACCCCCACCCCCCCCCCCCCCCCCCCCCCGCGGCGGCGGGGACAGACATTGCTTCTACCATCCTGCCAATCTCTTCACATACCTGTCAATCACAGGATCCCAACTCCCCATTCTCCTAGAGGAAACCCTTAGGGGCAAACCCAAGTAAGGAATAGGAAAAGAACTCACCCTACACCCAAGGATTGCGGCTAAGGAGGAAATATCCTGAACATCCCCAATCGGGATAAGCATGCTCTTAGCCACGTTGACCTTTAGCCTAGAAACTGCCTGAAACAAGCCAAAATGCACCTCAAGTATCTAAGTTAAGACACATCAGCATCACAAAAACTAGGGTATCATCCGCAAATAGTAAATGAGAGATCTCCAACAAATTTACTAGATCTCTGCCCACCCTAAAGCCCTCGATAAGACCGAGATCCTCTGCCCTCCTCATAAGTCTGCTCAAACCCTTCATTACAATGAGAAAAAGGAAAGACAACAAGGGATCTCCTTATCTTAAACCCCGAGAACACCCAAAGAAACCAGCAGGAGACCCATTCACAAAAACAGAGAACTTTACACATGAAAGACATGTCTCTATCCATTTCCTCCATCTGCTTCCAAACCCCATTCTTTAAAGTTAGTATAGTAGGAAATTCCAATTCACATGATCATAAGCTTTTTCAATGTCAAGTTTGTAATCTGGAATCCACACATTCGCCTGTAATAAGAATTGAATCTAGTATTTGCCGTCCTCCGACAAAAGCATTCTGAGAGTCCGAAATAATCCCATCCATGACATCCCTCATCCTAAGAGCAAGAACCTTGGACATGAGCTTGTAAATGCAACCCACTAGGCTAATTGGTCTAAAATCTTTAATGTCAGAAGCACTGCCCTTCTTAGGGATAAGGGTAATGAATGAGGCATTTAACGACTTCTTAAAGACGCCGCTTGTAGAATGAAACTCCTGAAATGTACCCATCACCTCATTTCTCACCACCCCCCAACTTTCCATCAGAAACCGCATAGTAAACCCATCAATCCCCGGAGCTTTGTCCCCATTGCAACTTGATAAAGCCTTTAGAACTTCCTCTTCAGAAAAAGGAATCTCAAGCCCATCTCTATCCAACTCAGAAATAACCTCAAAATGGAAGCCATCAAGCATGGGTCTCCAAGCTAATGGCTCGGTGTAAAGCTTTTAATAAAAAAAAACGATCCCATTACGCACCTATTCCTCCCTCCACAACTCCATACCATCCACCCGAATATAAAAAAAGAATATATTATATTATATATGCTATTATTATCCTACATTTTCATTATAATTGTATTTTTTGGTTCATCGAATAGTATGACGTGTGTTTATTGTCATTTTTTCAAAGAAAAAGAAGTTTTGACATTTTGATTTACGTTCATAATATTGTTTACATTGTTTTATATAAGACTAAGAGTGTGGGATGTTTGGTCGAGCCTATAGAATGTGTTGACCAAGTGTTCAAAATAATAAACATTATTTTTTAATTATGGAGACATCCATGAAGTGTCAAACATGTGTCTAGGAGTGGCCATGAAGGTCTGACACGGACACGACACCTTAATAGAAGTGTTTGTGATTCTTAGATTACTTTTAGTTTCTGGTGATGCCACGAGTCCTTAATTGACCTTTAATTGTCTTGCCACTCATTAATGTCATACCTCCTTTTAAGTTTGCATTTCTTTGTGGGTATGTGTTACAAGTGGGACTTGTACCACATCGGATTCGGATGGAGAATTGGATGAGTATATATGGGTTGGGTGTTAGCCCCACCTAATAGCTTAAGCTTTTGGGTCGGATTGTGAAGCACCTGGTCCGTTACAGTTGGTATCAAAGCCAAACCCAGTTCTTGATTTGGTGCCACGCCAAGTGCTCGGTCCGGAAGAGTCTGGTTTTGCCTCCCCGGGTAGGCAGGGTGGCCTAACCGCAACGAGGGCATTGCGAGTTCAGGTGAGAGAAAATGTTGCAAGTGGGACTTGTCCCACATCGGATCCGGATGGGGAATTGAATGGGTATATATGGGTTGGGTGTTAACCCCACCTAATAGCTTAAGCCTTTTGAGTCGGATCGCGAAGCACCCGGCCCGTTACATTATTCTTATTGGCTACTCTACATTTTATACAATTGAGAGACAAATCTATAAAATACTATAATTTTCTATCTACACGTAACCGTCGTAATATCTTAATATACAATTTTCAATAAATATGTGTTTGGTTGTGTTTTATTGTTCGCTGTAAATCTGTTTTGGATATTGCATTTGAGATTCTTGTCTTTGTTCTTTTCAGGTCAAATTTTCTTGGAACCAAATTCATAATTTATGACACACAGCCTCCACACAATAGTTCTCACATTTCCCCTCCAGGCCGTACAAGCCGTAGGTTCTACTCTAAAAAAGTGTCTCCAAAGGTTCCTACTGGGAGCTACAATATTGCCCAGGTCGCATATGAGTTGAATGTGCTAGGCACAAGGGGACCACGCAGGATGCACTGCATTATGCACTCAATCCCTACCTCAGCCCTGGATCCAGGTGGCAATGTCCCAGGCCAGCCTGAGCTCCTCCCTCGCCTCATTGAAGATTCCTTCAGGAGCATCTCTTTCTCCAAATCAATTGACAACTCAACGGAGTTCAGTAGCTCCCGGTTCTCGGACATTGTTGGGATACGTGAGGAAGAAGATGAAGGGAAGGACAGACCTCTGGTTCTAAAGAACAAGTCGCCAAGATGGCATGAACAATTGCAGTGTTGGTGCCTTAACTTCCGGGGGAGGGTAACTGTGGCATCAGTGAAGAATTTCCAGCTGATTGCTGCTACGCAGCCTGCTGCTGGTGCATCAACACCATCACAGCTGCCTCAGTCTGACCATGACAAGATTATCTTGCAGTTTGGTAAGGTCGGCAAGGATATGTTTACCATGGATTATCGATACCCTCTATCTGCATTTCAAGCTTTTGCCATCTGTTTGAGCAGCTTTGACACCAAATTGGCTTGTGAATAGAAGAAGAAAAAAGAATTATGGTATGAAATTTGTGATTTAGTTGGTAATGTTTTTCCTTTCTAGAGATGCATAGATTGAGGTGGTTGTATGCAGTGTTAAAACTCAGATGAGTGTTTCATAACACGTTGTCGGACCTTTAGCTACGAAACAGTCTTTGCATATATTAATTTCCTTGTTCTCTTTTTTCTGGTTTAACCGCTTGGGTTGGTTTGTATTGAATTATTCGGAACTATTGTCCCATTTTATGTGCTTTAAAGGAAACACTTTAAACTTAAAAGGAGATTGGTAACTTCATTTGCCCTTCAATTCGATGGAGATCTATGCTTAACCAGGTGGTCCAATTCCGAGTCTTCCTGGCATTGCACCTGGGTTGGAATGGTCTGAGCTTGGTCTATTGCAGTGTGGCCTTGGCATTACATGAAGCCCCAAGTGACTTGTTCAATTCTTTAGAGCATCTGCAGTGGACTCTGGGAACCCAATTTCATCGAGCAAAAAGGCCCAATTGAGCTGCATCGGGCTCGCGGTAATTGGGCGGGCCCACAAAGGAAATACTGTGAGCCCACAAGGGTTCGCGGAATAGCTCGAGCCCGATTGCGAAATTTTTTTTATTTTTTATTTTTGCAAAAATGTCTGGTTTTTTAAAAAAGAATATGGCCGCATAATAGCTTTTTGGACAAAAATCCAAAATGGGTCTTTGTGTTTTTTAAAAAATAAAATAAAATTCATTAAATAAAAAATATATTATTTAGGCACTCTTTATCCAAAAAAAAATTGATTTGGCCCAAAAAAAAAATCAAAAAACCTGTTTTTATTTTATTTTATTTTATTTTTTTATTTTTATTTTTTTCCTCAAAAATTGATTTTTAAAAAACTTTAAAAAAAAAAATTTTAAATTCAATTCTCTTCAGAAATACCCCAACTTCATCAAATCATGACATGTCATAATAAACCACAATTTCATCATTTTTAATCTTAAAAAACCATTACAAAATGCAACATAAATTAAACGTCTTCATCACAATAGCGGTTCCACAAATTTTTCATTAAATCATTCCCCAACCGCGTATTTGTGGAAACAGTTTATATATATATATATATATATATATATATTTTGGAGAGCGGAAATCCGGAGAGCTTGATGGAGTGCCTGTTTTTGGAGAGCGAAAGTCTGACATGATTCTTGAAAAAGTTGAAGTGACATTTTTGGAGAGTTAAAATCTGAAGAGGCTGGCGTGGATGCTCTTAGTTAATGAGTGGTAGATACCCTTTGTTCAATGGGACCACCTAGCTTGTGACTTGGATGCCAAATCCCGTATGTCACAACTAACACTAATAAACTAAGGGGAAAAAAAAAAGTAACACTGGTAATTTCTACATCAATTGACATACCCCAACCTAATTTACACTATTTAATAAATTGAACAAATTAGAATGTATCTAACCATCTGTATTAACCTCATTCAAACATGACATCATTATACATTAGAGTACCTGGTTAACAGTTTATAATTTAAAACAAATTATAAGCCTGTTATGCAAATTCTGACAAACTAAATTGTTAACGGCAAGTTACATTATTAAATTCTACTACAATATTTACATCTTAAACAAAAGACATTCCATTGTTCCTTTCCCCATTCATACTCAAGATTCTAGACCTGCCTAACCTTGTACCTGAAAATATAGATATGGAAGGAGTGAGCTTAAAGCCCAGAGAATGCAACATTACTACATCAGAGTAATATAAACAAATATTATCTGATAACTTCAATTAAACTTCGTAACATATAACTTCCAACTTTACAGGCATTAAAATATAGTACTCTTCTTCTAAGCCAAAGTGTGGACCTTATATAGTATAGTATTCTCTTTCTAGGCCAGAATATGGACCTTATTTAAATATAGTATTCTCTTTCTTGGCCAGAGTATGGACCTTATATAATATTTTACTCTCCTTCCAAGCCAGAGTATAGACCTTATATAATATAATCAAGTTATATATATGCATCTTCATTTCACATAAACAGCTTCAATACTTCAATTTAACATATTCAAGTGCAAAACTTCCAGTGAGTATACTCACCTTGGCTACTCCCCAAATTATTCACTTTTCCCTTGGTATTGTTGAAATTGTCTGCTCCTTCTCTTTGCCTGAACAAAATTGAAATTACATCATACCCATTTCTAAAGAAAAATAAATCACAATAATCACGTCCATTATAAACCTCAAACTTTATACAAAATTATAACTAAAATTCTAATCACAACCCTTTATACAAACTCTCCATTTCATAATTCCATCTAACCACCCATTACTAATTTCATACCTGATTTAGGTCAACTAAGTAAATAAATACAATTTATACAATATTCATAACTATGTTATACTTATTTATAAGAGAATTTAATAATAGTCTTCACTTCTAAAATAAAGTCCTAATAAACAAATATAAATAAAATTGTCATCACAATCATTTATTGTGATGATCCTGGATTTTTCAACCTGTATCCTGTGATGACCTGAACCGGATCCGAGATGCGGAAGAAAAAAATAAAACAATGGTCTTAAGAGACACAACACATCCCTAAGACGCCGATGTGACACTCAATGAGGTCACGAAACCCAAGGGGTTTAAATGCGGAAGCAACATTTAAAAAACGAACAAGAATGGACCTAGGTGTAAAAACATCATTTCTAGCTTAAAAGTGGGAGCCACCGAGCACACCATTGGAAAGACAACGAAAAATTAATAAACTTAGACTCAAAAATCGTTTGATTCGGAGTCAGGATGAAGAAGATATGGCTAACGGAAGAAACAGGGGAAAAAACGGTCAAAAAGTCAACCTAAGACCATCTAACCGGTCAGGAGACCCTTTCTAACCGGTTAGAAAGCAAAAACCAGTGACCAACTCACTGCCCACGCTTATCTAACCGGTTACGAGATTCACCACCCGTACACTTGACCCTGTACACTTGTACTACAACTCAGCAAAAACCTGGCAGCAGGGGTTTTTCCTGAAAAAATGGGATTTTGAGGCCCTAGATGAAATTTTCAGGAAAAAAACAAAGAAGAAACCCCACTCAAAATTGAGTTTTCTACGTGACTCTTGAGAAAAATCGAAGAATACGCACTGTGAAATACCCAAAATGCCCTCCCAAGAAAACTGGTCTAGAGGGTCCAAAAAGCTGCTAAATGGAAAAATAGAAGCTGAACTTTGCAATCGATTTCCGATACCAAGATGGCATTTTCTGAAAAAACACGAAGAAGAAACCCCCCCTAAAATCACATTTTCTAAGTGACCATGTGAAGAACAGAATTTATTTCACAAATAAAATTTCCAAAATACCCTTAGGTTAGATTATGCAACAAAAGTGTAAAATGAGTCCGTAGGAGGCTCATTTCACCAAAGAAGAAGTTTTGTCCGGAAACGACCATGCACGCAAACATAACTTACCTAATAAGATGTGCTACAATGGTCTATGGCTAAAAAATATGGCCGATACAAAATATGACCCCCCAACGGCCAAAATGCCAAAAATGAAGTTTGGAATGAAAATTTGGAATTTAAAATCTTGAAATGACTTCAAAATACCGTTTTGCCTTTGGCCACACCTCATACATGTTTAATGAATTCTAGATAACGATTTCATACACAATGCACGCTCTAGTGCAAAATAGCATATTAAAACGCATGATTTTCATATAATCTCATTAAGGGCAAAAATTTAACATCCATGATACAAATGTAATTCCAAAAGAAGTTTGGCCCTTGGCCTCATGTCATATACATAAAATGAGAATCAAAAGTGTGCTTAGGCACACGTTACTAGTTTAGAATCAAATATACACATTTGACATATAAAGCTACAAAGGCATTCCAAGCCAATCTTAACAAAATGGAAGTCTTCAAGTCCACAAGTCATCTAAGCATAATGGGAGTCTCAACTTTAATTCTTGTACCTGAAATATGCCCCAGTATCGTAGGGGTGAGTAACATAAAGCTACTCGTAGGAAATGAGCATGCATCGACCTACGTTTTACAAGTTTGCATGATTTAATTATTGTGGTTCATTCCACCTAACGTCTATGTCAAAGGTGAGGCTCAAGGAGCATCCTAACTACCTAAGATCATTTCTAGCATCAATCACCTCATTCATGCAATTTTAACAACATAGGGTCATGCTTACACAAAGCAACAACATAGGAGCATGCTTACACAAAGCAACAACATATAGATTCTCAAGGTAATCAACTTGAAATCTAAAATGTAACATCAACTAAATATAACAATTTAGCATAACTTATAAATATTACATGTAACAACAATGTCCCAAGACTCCAAAATAAACTAAATAAGTTCATAACTTATACATATTACTACTACATAGTAACAAGTTAGCAATATAACTCTCAATTGTGTGCATAATAAGCATTTCATATCCATAATGCTATGAAATCACAAGCCAACAATATATTCATATTAGAAACATACTCTCATGAATATAAATTTAACAACAATGCTCTTCAATGCATATAACACAATCAAGTGAATACATCACAAGTCTAAATCCATGATCTTAAAATAGAAACAATTTCTAAAATATGATTAGATCCATAGATAACAAGATAGAATTTAATTACATCAAAATAATTAAACTCTCTAGATTTCAAATCATTTCCAAATGACCTCATTTTAACATATGATAAAAGACATATCATGGTTATTACCTATATTCACACAAAATCTTAATTAGGCCCATGAAATCACAAAATAGATTTTAATTAATTCTCTTAATTAAAGCCTCTAGATTTTCAAACTCAACCAAATGCTCTCAAATTAAAGTATGTTAACAAACATGCCAAAACTTAATTTAGAAGCATAATACAACTCAATTTCATGCAAGGTACGACCATGAACTTTAATCTTTCACAAAAGATAAATATTAATTAAAAAGTGCAATTCTTATTTAATTAATCCAAATTTAATATATGTTAACCAACACATTAAAACAAGATTTTCTAGCATGCCACAATTCAAATCCAAGTTACACATCATCATGAATTTTAAATCTTATACAAAGAAATAAAAATTACTAACTTTCTAAATTTGATACAAGGTATACAAATATGTTATATAATTATGGCAAACACACAATACAACACACAAATAATCCTAAAACATTCCCTACCTCC